CACCGCCAGCTCCTCTCTGAGTGCAGTCTCCTCAACCTTTTTTGCCAGCTCCTTCCTCGGCTCGTCACGCCTTTTTCTCAATCGCCATTTTCTTGTCAACTCATGAATAGTCTTATGGTTTCTCCCAAGATTCTTACAGATAAGGTTGGGACACCAGTCACGTGACCCTTTTTCCTGCCTTTCCCAACCCTCCTCACGATTTTCATAAGCCTTGATTTATCCTTTTTAACACTTTCCGCAGAGGCGTTTGCAGTAAATTTATTTACAAAAATAATTCAATGATATTTGAAATCAACAAACACATATTTACTTGCAATCTCAAACAAAAGTTGAATTTATTCGCGGCATTAGATTTATCAGCTGGCAACCATCATCCATCGTCCTCGATGTAGTCGAACTTGGCGCACTCGGATAGTGTTCGAAATTTGTGACGCTTACTAGTTGCTATGGCGATCGGGCAGTACCTACGCTTTTCATTCGTCAACAAGTGCTCGCAGTCACGTTTTTGAACACAGTTTTTATGCGTCAGTTTGTGTGACGCGTCATATCTGAAACATATTTCGTGAGGCTCCAATACCTTTCAGTTCATCTCCTTCAAAAGAAGTGTTTTGTATTATTTTCCATATCTTTTTTGGGCTTAATTGCTAGCTCCATTCATCATATCTTGCGTGAGGATAGTCATCACTCGGGGACCAGTCGTTGAAAGCAAGCAACAACAAGGAGAAGGTCTTGTAAAAAGTCGCAGCGATTGCATTAAGCATTAAATGACGAAAATATTTCTACCCCCACCGCCTCAGGCGATCACGTGCTGTCTGGTTTCTCCTCACCTCCGCCCGAAGTCCCGCTACAATTTCCCATACGTCCTTGACGTTGACTACTAATTCCGCAATCTGCAAAAAGCACAAACGAGACACAAGCAGGTTAGGCGCATGCAGATTAACCCTCGCCCTGGCAGGGGGGGGGGGGGGTCGATGCGACCCCCCCTAAGGTTTTTCGAAGATAGCGTAAAAACGGCGGTGCGCAGCGCCGCCAAATTTGGCACAGCCTATGGGGCAACCTTTTTACATATAACCTGAAAATTTCAGGCCCGGGTGACCTTGGGTCAGGTCACCAGGTCAGAAAAAACCGGTACAAGGTCATGGTCAAATTTCAATTTTCTTTTTGCACCTGTCCAACTCACAGTTTTGCACTGAATTCCTTCAAACTTTCAGGATGTGCTAAGTTCACCGAGTTGTATAACATATAGTTCGGGTTTTTTGAGGTCACTGACCTGAGGTCAGTTAGAGGTCATTACGTCGTAATGTTAAGCCTATGGGAAAATACTAAATTCGGAAAATACTGGAGATATGCGCTTCGTTCTATCACTTTTGTGCTTTGAAACCACAGTACTTAACATCAGGTCACTTGGTGCTTCTTTGTTTGGTGTACTTATCCATGGGTCAGGTCAAATGAGGTCAATTGAGGTCAAATGACGTTTTTGCCAGTAACTTGGCACATAATGAAGCTAGAGCTTAAAAAATGGTGTCATTGTGTTCCTGGTGATCAGCCGAATCGAATGATATGCAACATAATGCAATTTGGTTAACTTGAACTTAATTAATTAATTTAAGTTTACTTAAAAATTAAGAAAAACTTTAAGTACACTTAAGCAAGCTAAAAAGTTTATCATTCGACGCGCCTTGACGTGCTGAGTTCACTGGTGCTTTTCTTTTTGCTCTATCTTAATTAGATCAAAAGTTATAAGCGAAAAACTTTTGACCTGTTTTCAGCGAAATTTTTACATTTATACCCCCCAAAACCCCCCTAAATATTGACCTAGAGCAACCAAATTTGCACAGGGGCGAGAACTCCAGGGGGCCCACCTACCTACCAAATTTGGTGTTTCTAGGTGCCATAGGAGCCAATCGCGAGGGGGGGGGGTCGCATCGACCCCCCCCCTCGCCTGCCAGGCCGTGTTATGAAAAATGCCCTGCCAGGGCGAGGGTTAATAATGCTACGGGATTCCACTTCGGAAGACCAAACAGGTAGCGTGTGTTAACCAAAACAAATCCGTCACCAAGGGACACAGGCAAGCCAGCACCAAAGGATATATTGCAAGCAACTGAACGATACAAATGCGCAAGACTTACCAACATATGCCCCAGGCATATACAGAACAGAGTAGAGTTCTGCACGGCTGCAATTTTCCACAGCCTAGCCGCCCCGCAGCCGTGGCTCCACAGCCACAGCCGCCCACAGCCGTGGCAAACTGTGGGCAGCCAGCCGTCAGCCGGCCGTTGATACTGTCAATGAAATGCAACCAAATAGTATATAATAAGTTGTTTTTAGTTGAAACATATAGCCAAAAGCACATTACAATGGGCTATAGATTCTCAAGCTCATGAAGCATCATAGGTTAAGTGATGCGCAACGCATGCCTACACAAGCCCTTGCAAGGGGTTAAAGGGACACTCCCACCTTAACATTAGTTTTGAGTTGAGATAGCCAAATTGGTGGCCATGGCCTGCAAATACCGGTTTGGGCACTCACAACATCGACAAATGCTTTAATTCGGAGATATGGAATTTCAAACTTGCAGTTTTCGGATTCTAAGGGGCTAGTGCATTGGTATGCCCCCTTAGAATTTGTGACGTCAGCGGAGATCTAACGATTTTTAAATCTTTTACTAAAACGTTTGGTAGCACGCGGTGGTATATGCTGCTTTGCGCGCAACAAATGCCGCACTTTCAAATAAAGTCGCTAGGAAAAGCGGAGATCCCAAAAAGTAAACAAAAGTAAAAGTCTAATATCTTGAAAACCGGTGAATATTTTTCGATGAAATTTGGTAGATATTCGTTTTCGCTCTTTCTGAACCGAGCGACATCACTTTCGTGCCAATTCATTAACTTTTTTGAAGGTGGGAGGGTCCCTTTAAGAAAGATGGGTAGGTAGGTACCTGCATCAACAGAAAACATAAACAACAAACCAGAATAGAAGCACTAGCAGTGTAGACATCTAATGCCAAATCCTGAAGCATGGTTGTGGGACAGAACAAGAGACCCTGATGCCTTTCATTATCAATGTTATGGAAAATGAAACTGAAGTTGATGGACTGTCAAAACTTGCTTCTTTCTTACCTTGCATATTTTCTGGGGTGTGATATGCCAGGCTTGAAGCAGCCTTCTGAGCAAGTCCCAAACTAATTTGATATGAAAGGCATCAAAACACTAGTTAGCATCGAAGAAAGAAAAACATTCATCGATTTTGATTTTTCCAATTTGATTTTCATTTTTCTTCAATCTTCGCTCAAATCACCAAGGACGTGCGAGCCACAATTGCCTCTTTCAATCAAAAATTTTATTTGAGTAATTACGTCAATGGCAAAGAAGTGGCAATATTTTTTTTGCGTCTACAAACAGCCATAAAGATTATATTTAATAATTAATAAGGCTATACAGTTGAAAACTTGCTCTCAAACAAAGATTCAGTTGATCAACTTTTTACATTTTCAGAAAAAAGACGTCATTTTATTAGTAAAGTCAACAGCTCGCGTAAGAAATATCGTGTTCAGGGTTTTCACCGTCATGTCAATTAACTGTAAGTGTCTGTATATCAATGGTAAGTAAGGTTTATGCTCCCGTATAATCTAATTCCATTGGCTTCATTGATAAGCATTTTCTGTAAGCAGTCACTCACACACCAGTTAGAACATAAAGCGCCAGTTTTATATTATGTAATTGGACTTGCCGAAAATCCAGAAATACATCTAAGAGTTATTTTAGGTAATATTTTATGAAGTCTTTACCTGCCTTTACCTAGGCGTTATATCTTTTTCTATTACCTTAAAGAATTATTGAACGCTTGTCTTCAATAGCTGTAAGGTGCTCTCCTAATGACCAGGTGAGATTGATTTGAGAGACAATGCAACATGCTGCTTCTTCTGAAACTGTCAAGCTCTTGATGATGAAGGAACAATTGGTACCTAATTAGTATTCTGTACCATAGTGCAAACTCCCCTACGGCAAAGGATAAAATCATTACAGGTTTTCAAAGGCTTCACCACTTTCAATGTTGCTGGGCATCCTTTGCATGATTTTTTACAGGCTAGACTGCTTATCAGAATGTAAGATTAAGGATTTAAAATTTTACATTTGAGTACTTTAGATTGAGCTTGAAATCTCACAGCCGTTGCAGGCCATGGCCACCAATTTGGCTATCTCAACTCATAACTAATGTTAAGGTGGGAGTGTCCCTTTAAGGGCGACTTTCCTGTACATATCCAAGAATATGTGTCGTTATGGAAATCGGTAGTGTGGCGATTGGCGACGCGCGCGACATCTGTGTTGCGACCAAGTGGCGACTGTGGCGACACCTGGTGGCTGCTTTTTTGCTGTATGTAGGCATTGGGGTTTTGCCAGATATGGTTCCTACTGCTACACAACTATGTTGACCCAATACTAGAAAGTTATTTTGCCAGTAAAAGGCAAGCAAATTGAAGGTCAATTTATAAAATTGTTTATAAATGATAACGAGAAAATAACAAAGAAGTTTTGATTGCATAGTTAATAAAATATTGAACCGTGAAACTATATTCTGAAATATTGAACCGTGAAACTATATTCTGGTAGGTTAAGTACAAATTAGTCCGTGCAACCTTGTATTTAGGGCCTTGGTTAAACCCTCGCCCGCACATGGGGGGGGGGGGGGAGGTTGCCCCGGCCTGCTTTTACAGTCTTAGCTGACGAGACATCTGACAGAACAGAACAGCTGAGTGTCTGTATCAGATACGTGAACGACGTTGGTACAGCCTGTGAGAAGTTCATCGGCTTTTGGGACTTGCACTCGGAAGCTTTTGAACTTGACTTTGATGGTGTTGACGACGGTGAGGTTCTGGAGCCTAAAATAAGTGGGGAAAAGATGGGAGAGTGTATCTTGGAGGGCGGGGGCGCTTGAGCCTTGAGCAGGTGGTTCTATACCCTTGGTTCTATACCTCATTCATCATCTAACAGAAGGCTTCACCGCTAGTCGTCTTGGCCTATTGCAGCGCCTTGCACACGGAGCGCTGATGGCCGATGAGTTGCTGGTCTCGCGACAGAAGCGGCACTGGCAGTGGCGGCCTGAGTCATGATGTCCGGCAGCATCTTCAACTGCACCTCCAGCCGCTTCACACCTACATTCCTGCCGTACAGCTCTTTCACGGCACCCGGCACCGCGTACGTCTTTCCCGCGGCCGCGTCTTCCAGCAGCCGCTCGACTTCAGCGACTTTGTGCATTGACGGCATGTCAAACCGCTCCTCCAGCTGCGTGTCCAGCAGGTCCAACAGCTCGAGGAACTGACGGCGGTAGGAGGTCTTCGGGTCTGCATCGTGATGCTCACCCCCTCCGCCCAGCCGCTTTGGGACCTTCCGTTTCCGCGAAGGTGTAGGCTCTTTCACGCGATCTTTACCGACCCCCACCAAACACGATTTGGCAGCACTGTAATGACGCCTGCTGGGCGTGAAGTTTTCCCTTCACCTTAGGGTTTACACACAAACTGGTCAAAGTTTGAGCCAGGATATACTAGTCTAAAAATGCAAAAAACGAACAAATTTTGGCATCAATAGACTCAGCATTTCATCGTGTGCCTCAAAACGTCCATCATTTGGCCTCAAAGGAGGTAAAAATTGTTCAAAATCGAAGTTGAAAAGATGCTTTCTGAGCACATAATCTGGTAGCAATCACGTGACCTGCTATAAGCAGCTTATCGATAATTTACAAACATAATTATTAATATGCTGCTTTAAACAACATTAATCATACATTTTGAGCTTTCAGTACTTTAAATAAGGTCAAAACATCGCAAAACACAAAAGTTAATACAATAGTCACGTGGGTGTCAGGAAATGTCACAGGTGCGTCAAATTTGTGACTGGGGCTTTACTTTCAAACATCGGATCTACCTGTTTCTTATAGGTATCTTGATCTTCACCATCCGCCATCGCTGTGGCTGCCTGGTAGATGGCGTCGACTGAGGCATGAGAAGTCATACGCATTTAGGACATGTATGGGATACGTGTGATTCGCTTTCAAGCATCCTATTCAATGATATCTTGCACTGAAATGGCGCCTGTTCCAGCGTCCATTGCCTTTATAATGGGCAAGAAGTTCAAATATTTAAGCCCATTGCACATCCCGTAAACCAACTCCAATGACAATAAAATTGGCAACAATTAAGTAGACATGATAAATAAAACTAGTTTAGCACCATAAACTATACATTTCCAAAACAGCTTTTTGGGCGCCTATGGTGTAGTGATAAATAGCCTTTGAGTACTTAAGAGCTTATTTTTTAAAGGATTGAACACAATGATAGATCACAATAATGTCCATGATTTTTCACACCTCATTTTTTTTTAGAAGAGCTGACAACCAGCTAAATGACCGCAGATCTAAAAGATAAATGGTACTTATGAATTCAGCATAGGCGATAACATTCAAATGTCAGGCCTTTTTACATTCCTAGTTGCATCTTTTTTCGACCCATCATAATACGCATGGACATTGCAAAACATGATTGCGGATGAGCACATTTTCATGTTTTTTGGAGAGTGGGACTAAAAACCGACTGTGCATACCTAGTGAAGATAAGTCAATGTTTGGAGCCTATGGTACAGACTACAGATGGCGCAAAATCTTTCGGACTTGTGTTATATACATATTTTCCCGGAAGATGGTTGTCTTCGTTCTGGTCAAATATCCCGCGAGTTGCTGGGGGGGGGGGGGGGGCGTTAAACGCCCCCACTTTTTTCGCCGGGCTATAGCATGAAAACGGCGCGCGTGACAAAGTTTCAAAAAAATCGGTCGGAAAATTTTTGAGATATCGAGGTTTTAGTGACGTCATGATTTCTGAGTTTTCGACCAAAAACGGCATATGTTCAAAAAATCATATAAAATTACAGAATAGACATACAGACATGCCGTAAACGCCATTAGACTGCCAATACCATGAACAATAAAATGGCTATGTTCGATTATTGATTATCGTTCCGCATTTTCCAAAATCTTGAACTGAATCTTGGCAATTTCTCGTGACTGCTTCACGACAATGATACATGCATTTCTTAAATTTAACTTTTTTAGCCAAACACGTACACATATGATACAATGAATGTCACCATCGTGTTCTACGCCCCAAATTACCCATAAAACATGTGTCACAGGCTGCGAATATCAGTTTTGATTTTCGAGGATATGTGCCTACCCGGTTGACCTGACCTTGACCCTGACCTATGCTTGACTGACCCCTACATGGAGCTGACACTCTTGTAGGCCTTATATGATGGATTGTGCACCGTTTTGACATAGTTTATGACGAGTGGCGCCCATTGCGAAGTCCTGAAGTCCATGCTACTGAAAGCCCGATTTCAGGTGTTTGACCTGACCTTGACCCGACCTGTGACCTCAAAATTCAACTTTTAAGTATTCATCTGAAGCGTCTCGTCGCGTTCTTTCGTTTGCCGCCTCGTGCGTTTCGCTGCGCCTATTGGTTCTCGAGTTATCGGCTGGGGGCGTTTAACGCCCCCCCCCCCCAGCAAACGGTGGGTGGCGAAATACCCCAGCAACTGCCGGGATATATATCTACAAAGAACATGTCAGTACCAAATAATACGGTTCATTGCTCCGAGCTTGACATCAATTTTCATCAATACTTGACAACGCTCTGTCCCAAGGATCCTCTGATGAGGCTTAAAATGTTGCTTAAGCGGCTGAAGTAAACGGCGCTAAAAATAATTTGTCATTCGCACTGTTACGTTTTCATATAGAATCGTCATCGCTTTATGAGTCATCAACAGTGCATCGCGTTATCATTATCGAAGTCGCAATCCTCGAAATAGTTATAGGGAGTCATCGTTATCGAAGGCCGGTTAGAGATGTCGATTATCCATCATTGGTAATAACTAATAACCACAAACTTGAATTTTTTTTTAGAAATTTTGTCCGAATGGATAAATGGATGGCTATGGGCTCGGGTGCCCCGCTAAGCAGTGCTTGTTGCGAATGACACCACGGACCCACCCAAGATACCTATAAGAAACAGGTAGATCCGATGTTTGAAAGTAAAGCCCCAGTCACAAATTTGACGCACCTGTGACATTTCCTGACACCCACGTGACTATTGTATTAACTTTTGTGTTTTGCGATGTTTTGACCTTATTTAAAGTACTGAAAGCTCAAAATGTATGATTAATGTTATTTAAAGCAGATATTAATAATTATGTTTGTAAATTGTCGATAAGCTGCTTATAGCAGGTCACGTGATTGCTACCAGATTATGTGCTCAGAAAGCATCTTTTCAACTTCGATTTTGAACAATTTTTACCTCCTTTGAGGCCAAATGATGGACGGTTTGAGGCACACGATGAAATGCTGAATCTATTGATGCCAAAATTTGTTCGTTTTTTGCATTTTTAGACTAGTATATCCTGGCTCAAACTTTGACCAATTTGTGTGTAAACCCTATGGTGAAGGGAAAACTTCACGCCCAGCAGGCGTCATTACAGTGCTGCCAAATCGTGTTTGGTGGGGGTCGGACCCACCACCCCACCTTGTCCGCTCCCGGTTCACCGGTGATAATTTGGATCGAAAGACTAACGTGCCGTAGGTAGATGGCGGTACGGTCCTCCCGGGTCTAGCGTGGCGCCCTCCCTCGCCAGTTGCCAGCTGGCTTAGGGACACTCCCACCTTAACATTAGTTTTGAGTTGAAGTAGCCAAATTGGTGGCCATGGCCTGCAAATACCGGTTTGGGCACTCACAACATCGAAAAATGCTTTAATTCGAAGATATGGAATTTCAAACTTGCAGTTTTCGGATTCTAAGGGGCTAATGCATTGGAATGCCCCCTCGAATTTGTGACGTCAGCGGAGATCTAACGATTTTTAAATCTTAGACTAAAACCATCGTTAACGCGTGGTGGTATACGCTGCTTTGCGCGCAACGTCTGCCGCACTTTAAGGCTGCCAAATTATTGCTTCCAAATAAAGTCGCTAGTAACAGGAGAGATCCCAAAAAGTAAACAAAGGTAAAAGCCTAATATCTTGAAAACCAGTGAATATTTTTCGGTGAAATTTGGTAGATATTCGTTTGCGCTCTTTCTGAGCCAAGGGACATCACTTTCATGCCAATTTTCTAGAATGGAGATGCTATTGCTGAGCATATTTATTAGTATGTATATAAGAAATATTTTTTAATGTAGCCTGATGCTCATCATATATTAGTTAAGTTTTAAGCGAAATAGACAAAGAGAATAATATTTCGACCACGGGTCATCTTCAGATTCGAATAGGAAAATCGAGCAGCCAGCCAAAGACAACGAACCAAGATCCAGATAGCAAAAATATGCGGTGTAACGTGCCTCACGTGCCTAATCAGATGACGCCCTAAAAGGAGATACACAATATAAATGTTAGCAACGGTACAAATAGGCATGCCAAATACGTAACTGCCTTCCGCAATGGGTAACGACGGATACAATGCATACCTAGACAAACATGTCGCGTACATAGTTACAAATCATACGATGACGAGTATGATAACGGGTAAAGTAGGCGCCACGATGACGTGTTTTTATTCAGCAGCGGTTTTCTATTTCTAATCTCAATGGATTCTGTTATTCTAAGATTTGCTTCGTCTTTACATTTGTCCAGAATAGTGATTTCAAATTGCTCATTTTTGGCTTGAATTGTCGCATGCGCCGTCAACATATGATCACCAAGGTCAGTCCCACTTCTTTTGTTTCTAGCATCACCCAAGTGTTCCATAAATCGTGTCCTTATCATGCGTCTAGTTTTTCCAATGTATGTACAATTGCAAAGTTTGCAGGTAATTTGATAGACAACGTTCTTAGTGTGACATTTACCATCCAGTCCTCCGTTACATGTATGGCATACTTTCCGGTTGCCCCTGGGGCACGGGGTTGGTTCTAATGCTGATCTTATCAGTTTATCAGAGAGCGTTGGTCCACTTTTCCAAGCAATTTGGATTGCGAGATCTGAAGATTTTGCTGCTGCGTTTATCTTTCTAGTTAACCCTCGCCCGCACATGGGGGGGGGGGGGTGGTTGCCACCCCCCGGGCAGTCTTTCTGCTCTGCACTCAACATTTTTAGAGCTAGAAGGCTGATTTTTCGTATAGCTGCTCGTCTATCCTTTCTTGATGTCCACTGAAAATGTCAAGTTTCTGTGATTATTGGTTTCGGAGATATGACCTTGTTTTTCAGGTCATGTCATGACCCAAATGGCCAATTCTCAACATTTTGCGTTTGCCATGGGCCTTGTGAGCTTTTGACACCCTGATTTCGGCCTTTTTTGCCAGTCTTACCTCCCACCTATCATGGAACATGTTGTTCGACGATGTACAGGGGTCAAGGTCAGGGTCAAGGTCAACCTAGGTCATCTAAGATAATTGCGTTTTAGGCAAGCTGAATTTACTTTTTGTGAAGTTTTTTGACTGCATTTTTGGTAAAAGCTTCTCAGATCATGATTTCATGAGATATGGACCCAAAAACAATCGGTGCACACATCAGTATACACACAGACACACACAGACATACAAACACATATAATTGACCTTGACCTAACTTGACCTGAAATGACCTCAGCAGCAAAATTCTGGTCGGATAGTGTGACAAAGAGGTTCTAGCTGGCTTGGCACCAGAAAACAGCATCGTCATCGGTATTTGATAAGCAGCGCACTTGATATCCAACGGTGACCCAAACCAGCAACATTTTTTAGTTTGACCTGACCTGGAAGGTCAATGACTGACCTGAGAAGGTAAAACTGGGTATCATTGGATTCGTCTCTTCCCAAAGAATCTTTTTGGTCTTTACTGCTAAGCTCTATCTCCAACAGGAACGAAATGGCGCGGGGGGGGTGGCAACCACCCCCCCCCCCATGTGCGTTCTAGGATGGGAAAATGGCATGTGCGGGCGAGGGTTAAGGATTCATCAATATAGGGTAGTGATACGTAGGTGCGAGTTTGACCAGTCTTGATACCCGGCCGACTAGGCTTATGCATTGCTGCGTTTTGGACGTTTTTAATCATTTTACGCCGGCTTTGGCTGGCTGCTCGATTTTCCTATTCGAATCTGATGATGACCCGTGGTCGAAATATTATTCTTTATTACATGGCTCGTATGTTAACTGGGTGTGTAATAATTTTGACTGTTGACCGGCAATTTTTACGTTTAATTTTCTTTTGAAGGATGACGTATTTTTGTTAATAATACCATGACAACGGGCAACAGTATTTTGCGCGTGCTTTAAAAAAAACATTCAGAATTTTGAAATTTAGGGTTTAGGTTCTTCACCTATCTTGCTTCACCTCATCCTCATTCAGTTGGTGGATGTCATTGCTGAAGGATCATACGTACCTATATGTGCAGTTATGACAGCGCTGCCTCGTTTTCATTTATTTGAACCAAGTGAATTAGATGAGCTCCTTTTTTCACGCAGGGCTGAAGTCACGCAAAGGGTGATAAAATCGTCGGGAGACATATTCCATGAAATTTTTAACAGCTAAAGGTCTAACGCTGGAAGACCTACAGACTACAGTACAGTAATGCTACTCTCGACGACACTGCTAAGGAGTTTTTCCCTAATGTCAAGCGCAAAGATGGAGAAAGAAAAAAAAACGAAAAGTCTACACTCACTGAAGTACGGAATCAAACAGTTCATCATCAATCAACTAGGAAAAGACAAGTGAAGTAGAAAGTTTTCCTTTGAGTACCTACAGAGGCTTTTCAGGTCGCAATGCACTTGTCTAAAAAGGATGGGCGAGGATCAGTTGACCACAAGGAGCCGATAAGCCGAGGCGACAGAGAAAAACTGAATATTTACACGCAAAACTACTCGCCAATGGCAGGCTCCAGCAGAAAGTGTTTGTTGTGATGTGATGAGAAATGTGTGATGCCATGAAATACATTCATCATTGAGATTCAAACAAATTGTGTGTTATTATGCTAACCCGTTTTGTCATACAGCTAAACGATAATAAATAAAGTTACTACGAATAGGTAATACGAGACGAGGTGGGCCATGTAATAAAATGAGTACTGCATGAGGAAGAATCAGAATCAGAATCAGAATATATTTCATAACGAATCCATCGAATATGGTTTTTCATCGTCACACGTCAAAGGTTGAAAACATACGAGGTAAAATACATTCAGGCCAATACAATACACCGCGATACTTGATCAGGTCAGCCATACAGTTCTCTGAGTAGGTAGCGTCTCAGGGTTGATTTGAAGTGGCGAGTGTTTGTGTCGAATGGCAGCTGGTTGTACTGCTGGACAGCACCGTAGCTGAGACGCCTGCGACCCGACTCAGAGTGTATCCTCGGTAGCGTGCGCTGAGAGGAGCCTCTCGTCTGATACACGTGGTCTCTACTGGGGCCGATGCACATAGCGATGCATTCGGGACTACCGGTCGTGATGGCAGCATGGGTGAGACACAGTCGGTGATACGTGACAAGGCCACGCGCGTCTAACCAGTTCAGGTCACGGAGAACGTCCGCTACATGGTCGTGCTTACGCCGGCCGCTAACCACTCTGGCACCAAAGTTTAGGAGCTTCTGTACTCTATGTAGCTGCGTTGCATTACATGTACCGTAAACCGAGATGCAGTATCTAATGATTGATGTCACAAGAGCCTGCACGATCGTCACGACAGCACTTTTCGGAACTACATGTTTGGCATGCATCACACCAAGAAGAATGCCCGTGCACTTTGATGTTACATGGTCCACATGCGACTGGAAGCTCAGATAATTGTCCATGATGACACCCAAGTTCTTCACTACTCTAGAGTCGGGTATGGTGGTTCCTAGGAAGTCTAGTGCCACTGGCGGTAAACCTCTCAGCATAGCAGGTGTACCGAGCACAAGTGCCTGGGTTTTGGACGCGCTTAGTTTCATCCCGTTTGAACAAAACCAGTCGTACACACTGACAAGGGCCTGCTCCATGCGGACAATTAAAGCAGGCAGCTCACTTTTCTTGCCGCTGACAAGCAACTGTGTGTCGTCCGCGTATTGTACCACTCGGACCCCGTCGGGCACAAACAAACTGAGCTCGTTCGTGAAGATGGTGTACAAGACACAGCTGAGCGAGCCGCCCTGGAAGACCCCGATGGAGTTGGGCTTAGCAGCGGAACACATGGGAGTGCCGTCACCACCGATCACTTGCACTTGCTGAGTGTGGCCGCGCAAATAGTCTCCGAACCACTCTGTGTCTACGCCATACAGCGCCAGCTTATCGAGTAGTCTGGCGTGCGGTACCACATCGAAGCACTTCGATAGGTCAAGTAGCACGAGCACAGATATCTCGCGACAGTCCATAGCGCAGAGGACGTGTTCGGTGATGACGCTGAGAGCGGTCTCCGTGCTGTGACCCTTCCGATATCCGTGCTGGGCGCTGGAGAGCAGCTTGTTGGTCTCCAGATACTGAGTGAGCTGGAGCTGCACTACTCTCTCAGTGATCTTCATCACTCCCGGCAGAATCGAGATTGGGCGGGTGTTGGCTGGAGCTGAAGGTCCTTTCCCCTTCGGGATTGGCGTGACAAGCGCGTGTTTCCACGCCGCCGGCACCTGACAGGTCACCAGGCTCGTGTTGATCATGTCGAGCAGAATCTGTCCAGTACCCCAGAAGTATCTCCTGAACATGTCGACACTGATCCCGTCAAGTCCGGTTGCTCTAGACGGCTTCATGGACCACAGGACCAGACACAGCGTGTCAAGATCGATGGGATGTGGCCGGAACCCACTTGTCGTCACTCGTGGCAGGCGGACGGGCACCGGTGCAGCAGGTCTCGGGACGCTGGCGGCAGTGGCAGGGCCAATGCTGACATAATAGTCGTTGAGTGCATCAGGGGTAGCACTGGGCACGGCAGTTTCCTTCTTACTGCCAATGATAGGCCGCAGCACGCGCCAGACGCTGCCCGGCCCCGCCTTGTCCAGTTCGCGCTGATAGTGGGCAGTCTGGTCTCGCCGTATCGCTCCGCGGCACTGGCGGTTCAGCTCCTTGTAGCGGTCGCGCTGTCCGCCTGCCTGGAGCGCCTGTCTCCGCTCGGCTAGCAGCTGGCGGGTGTCAGCCGTCAGGGGCGGCGCGCCGGGTGGCGACAGCCGCACTCGGGTGACCGGGGCCACCCCGTCGAGCTGCGAGAGGAATATCGCGCGAAATTCCTCCCACTTGTCGGCAGGTCGCTCGCGCAAGAGCACAGGACTCCAGTCCGCTTCGGAGAGCTGCAGATTAAACTGCTCAGAGTCGACTTTCTGCAGGCATCTCCGCTGGACAGTCGGTCGGGACGGTCGCCCCGCTCCACCGCAGCGCAGCACCAGCCGTGTGAAGTCGTGCGGGGTGCCGTACTGGCAGCGGGTCACCCCAGCACGTGTCACCAGGTCGGGCCGGCTGGTTGCGATGACGTCAAGTAGTGAGTTGGCTGGTCGGTAAGTCGGGTGTTCGGTGTTGACGATCCGCAGGCCGTACATGGTCAGCAGGCGAGTCAGCCGGTGGCCGGGCGAGTCAGCAGCAGGCTTCAGCAGGCAGCAGTTCAGGTCACCGGCTAACACCAGTGTAGCGCCGGGGTGACTCGCAACCATATGCTGCACCTGACCTTCTATGTCCTCTAGGTCTGACGTCACTTGTGCTGCTGAATTCCGCGGCACACGGTACACGCTGGCGAACAAAAAGCGGGCAATAAGTAAAAATTATTGCCCTCTGTGACGCTTTGTAGCCCTCGGATGAAGACCTCAACAAGCATTATTGCCCTCGGCTACGCCTCGGGCAATAAAGCATGTTTCGGTCTTCACCCTCGGGCTACAGTGACGTCACATCGGGCAATAACTTTTACTGTTGCCCGCTACCCCATGCAGTATTCATATACTTTGTCTATTTCGCTTAAAACTTAACTAATATATGATGAGCATCAGGCTACATTTAAAAATATTTCATGCCAATTCATTAACTTTTTTGAAGGTGGGAGGGTCCCTTTAATATAGGAAAGCGGGTCAAACGATGTGGAGCTTCCCGGCCGCGAATTCGCTGCCACCGAGTTAGGAGACGGACGCCTTATCCACTAGGCCACGGGGAGGACAAATGCGATGATATCTTTTGACAAAATGTAATAAACATACAAGACGTTCAAACGACAAACGCCCAGCCCGTTTTCCCGGTAGCCTGCCTGCATCGGCTAACGAAAACTCAATGCCCGCACCCCGCTGCCCGCATACCATGTCATGCCACTCTATTCGCTCTGGCAACGGCTATTACTCTGCTAATGCTGGTAACTTCCATCCCTCTAATATATACCATGTCTCTACTCGCACTGAGAACTTCTAGTCCTAGAAGTTGAAGTTATACGCCACTCCGCGTACGTAGTCGGCGATACCGATTTGGCCATCGCGCTGCCGCCCCGCCAGCCGGAGCAGGCGGCCACTGAGCAGCTACCACTGGGGCCGCCGCCGCGCCCCGTCCGCGCCAGCCACCAGCTTCTCGACCTCGGAGCGCCAGTGATCTTCCTCACTGCGGATCAACCGCAGTTCGGTTTCAGTTTCGACTTCATTTAGATGTTTTCAGTTTTTTTTTCCCCCGGGTCCTGGCAGGCCTGTGGTGTCCCTGACATCCTGAAGTGCCAACGAGAGGCTGGTCGTGTTCCTGACAGGCCCATGGGGCCCTTGCGAGGCCTGTGGTGGGGCCTCTGGCAGGCCTGTGGTGCCCATTCTAGGTCGCTGGTACCCTTGGGCTCTGACAGGACTGTGGTGTCCGGCCCTGACAAGCATGAAGTGCCACCGACTGGCATTTAGTGCGTCTTACGTCTTACAGTGCGTCCAAAGTATCCCTGCGAGGCTGATGGTGCCCTTGCTAGGTGCCTCTGTTAGACCTGTGGTGTCCCTCGCAATTCCACTGGCGGCGCCCGATAGGAGAGGGGGGGGGGGCTAAAAAGCAAAAGGTTACTATAGCTGTGCTTGTGACCCCCCCAAGGTTTTTTTTTTTAATCCACACCCATGCGCTAGCATCGAAGCCCATGGTAGTCACTTTCAGTAGGTACATAGTATATCAGGTCTATAGTAGGTAGTAGGTAGGTAGTAGTAGGTAGGTCACTATGACTAGTCACACTCATATTTGTTAAAGGGACTATCCCACCTTTAACATGGGGTTTGAGTTGAGATAGCCAAGTTTGTGGCGAGGTTCAGAAACCACTATCTATCTAGGTTGCAACCCCCGCGGCCTCTTGGTGTTGAAGAAATTCGTTCCCTTCATTTGAAAATGGGCCTTGTACAAGGCCCTATCTTCAACATGGAGCGACCGTTAGTGTGACGTCACCTCGTTTGGTCATTCTGATTTAAATGGGTTTGTTCGTTGAAAAATCGCTTAAAACTTGGTCTGAACTTTGTTGTGGTGCCTACAGAGTAAAAATAATCAGCTTTATGACAGTAATGTGGCCTGGGGAAGGAGGTAATTTTGGGCTGTGACGTCACATATTTGAAAGTTTGTGTTTGGAATATGGGAAGCCTTAGATGTTTAATGAAAAATAAATGCCAGAACCGTGTTCCTGGTCATCCAATCTATAAAGTCGGGCACAATTTAACTGGTTTTAACAACATTTTAGAAGGTGGGATAGTCCCTTTAATTTCTTGATATAATTGTGGGCATGACAATTTTCGAAGCCACCCTTTTATGCCCACCCACTCCATTGCAGGACTACGGAGTTGATGGATTTGCGGCGACTCCGACTGCGACTTTCAAAAACCAATTCCGATTCCGACTCCGGGCAGAATTGTCAACTTCGACCGACTCCACCTCTGACTTCGACTTGCAGACCTGGCAAGGCTGCGGAGTCTATGGATTTTCGGTGACTCCGACTCAGACTCCGGTACCGGTTTCCAAAATCGACACCGACCCAGACTTTGATCACAAATGCTGACTCCGACCGACTTTAACTAAGGCTTAGACTCCTCCGCAGCCCTGCTCCACGGTTCGAACGTTGTTCGAGAAAAAACTTCATATATAGCGTCGCAATTTTGGATTTTTAACCCCTGTTTGACCTGACCTGAAAATGACCTCAGTAAAAAATGTGAACCTCATCCGTTTGTACCCTATGCCGTTTACCGCTTGTCGCTATCTTGCTTTGTTCTCGAGATCTCTCCCAACCGTCGGTTTAAGTTAGCGCCGACCCCCGTTGGTGCGCTGGTTAACATGCCTATGCTGCTAATCCGGTCGTCGAAGTTAATGTCATAGGTTTAGTTGTCCACACAGTGGCGCAGCCAGAACTCTGGCGACGGGGGTGAGAGACGTTCGCGATGGGCCCCCCAGCAAAGTGGGCCCCCTCAACCAAATGGGGGCCCCTTACCAACAACGAAAGGTCAGATCATTGTCATCATTACCAGCCAAATCGGGGAAAAGGACAAATATCTCTTGATCTGAAGAGGCACTAAAAAACAACAGCATATTTACAGAAACACAACCTGAACCATTCTGCCCATATTTGATGGACAGCGTGCAATTGATGGCCAGCGGCCACTCAAAGGGTCGGGCTAGGTCAAAAGGCTTTTAAAAAAGCTCAACATCAGTTTTTCGACTATTACTTTCGATATAGGAGACGAGGTAGAGTTATGACATTGTCTTGAAGGTGTTAATCATCCATACGGATCGGTTGATGACCATCATGAACTTCTCAAGTAAAGGCATGACCTTGATCTGCGGTCACATTTTGAAGTTGAAATTTTTATGTGAAATTATAGGTAGCTCATTCGATGCATGTTAACAAGAGAATGATGACAAAGTCTCATAGTTTTTTTTTTCTCACCAAAGTCCTTTCAAAAATTCTTAGCAAAACTGTTTTGGTATAATGCGACTATTTAGATGGTTTTGCCGGTTTTACCCTCTGCTCTGTTGCCAAACCATTGACATGAGGCATTGAGGTCAAATCTTAAAAGCGAAAGCGTTTTGAAAGGCCTATCGAATGAGTTGCTCCGCAAAGCTCTAGCTCTTTGGTTCACGAGTTATACGATTATTTGTGAAAAATATAAAAACAAAAAAATTTTCGTCGTAATCTTGTCTTTGTGTTTATCATAATTTTCTCATAATTTCATCTTCAATGATCTCAGCGATGACCTAATCGAAAAATGACCTCTACGATTCTGAAGCATCCTATAGCTATCCGTTGCCTTTCTCGTCTTTCTAGCCGTCTTAAATTATGATCGGGTTTGACCGATACGCCACCCCCCCCCCCGCCATGGCTGATTGCACGAGCTAGAGAGCTATCGAACCCACTTTCAGCGCGCTATAGCTTTTTATTCAAACACCCCTCAGGGGCGTAAAACTGGAGAGCCTGGGGCCCTGCTCTGCGGGGCGCGGTCGAGCTAGGCTAGAGCCAGTTTGGGATATTTACAAGCCCACGTAAAGCCCTCAAGAATCTGCATAGAGCACAGGCCTTCCAAGACTTCGGGGTTTAGATATCGACAATCGACATGGTCTTTTGAGGCCTACGTGGTGGCTATCAGAGGTCGGTGGGCCCCTCAAAAGCCGGTGCAGGGGCCTCAGGTGTCAGTTTGGAGCCATCATGGACCGGTGTGGGGTCCTGATAAATACCTAGGCGTCAAACCCCTAGACGTCGGGGTGGGGCCGGGCGGCGAGGCAGGCACAGGCCTGAGGAAAATATTTTCAGATGTCGGCTTGGCAGGGCCCTGCATGGCTTTCTCAGAGGCTGACATATCGTACTGCGGGACCTCCATCATAGGCGGCGGAACGGGGAGGGCACCGGGGCACCGTGCCCCCCTTTGATTTTGGCATTTTAACATTAGCCCTTTGGGCGTTGCATGGAAAGAATGGGACCAAAAGTCGGCAATGCCCCCCCCCCCCCCCAACTGAAGGTGTTCCGCCGCTTCTGAACTCCATGAGCCTCAAAAACCTCTAGGGGCCGCTCACGCTTGGGGTAGGCTTCCTGAAGCATCAAATCTCTGAGTCTTGAGATGGGTAGGGGAAGTTGGGGCAATGCCGGAGTTGGGGCAAAGCCGAAATTCGAGATATTTCGAAAACCGTACGACATGGATGCCACCTGTCAGTGATGCTCTGAAGCTAAAGTGACTACCAATTATCGCATGTTTGTTACCAGTCGTCATTCGGAATACTTCGGCTGTGAGGGCGCCAAGAGCGTTTTCAAGGTACGTTTCCTTTGTACTACATGCGTCTTCGAAGCTGCATTTCCTACTCATTATGCTACCGTTTGTCTGGCCAATTCGGTCAAGTAATCTTCAGCACGTCTTTGCATAAGTGTGCTGCCTATTTGAAATTTATACAGCACGTTGAAAAGTTATGGGCCTGCAAATGAAAGTATGGCTGGCTGGGGTAATGCCGAAAACGTGCAATTACGCGCGTTAAAGCACGCTACGTGAACTTTACCGCTGTAGAATAGCAACGCGTATTTTTAGTCACACAAATTACACTTTTCACCGACACAACGGCCTGTTACCATAAGGAATGATTTACCTGGCCTTTTCTTATTATATCACACAATTATAACTTCCAGTGTGCACCAAGCGTCCTCAAGCTCTTAAAACGCGTGTCAGCTTTGACGAATTCTGGATAAAATTTGAGATAAAATAGCAAAACATCAATTTCGGCATTCCCGTAGATCATTTCTCCCATTTTCGGCTTTCCCCGCAGTCCGGGGCAACGCCGAAAAAGTCACTTCTTTGATATTTTTAGTTTGTGCGCTTATCGGTATGCGAATTCATCAAATGCGCCTGGTATGTTTGAAAGGCAAAAGACTGGCCTCTCGAATGACGCCAACAAGAATAGCTTATGTTGTCTACCTTGCGTGCTACGGGCGTCAGAAAAAGTATTCGGCGTTCCCCCAACTTCCCCTACATTAGACATGAACTGGGCCATCAATATACATGTGGTGAGTTGACCTATAGGTATCAAACATGATATCGGTTCAATCAGGATTGGGGTAGGCCCTCTCAGAACCAGACCAGGCACGGAGTACGGACCCTCCCACACATAGGATGATCCTTTCATTCATGAGATGCCTTCTCAGGCCTGAACTGGGCCCTCTCAGACCTGAAACGGGCCCTTCTCAGGCCTGAAGTAGACCCTCTCAGGCCTCAAAAAGGTCCTCTAGGGCCTGAAATGGGCCCTCTCAGGCCTGACATTAGCCCTCTCAGACCTGAAATGGGCCCCTCTCAGGCCTCAACTAGGTCCTCTAGGGTCTGAAATGGGCCCTCTCATGCCTGACATTAGCCCTCTCAGACCTGAAATGGGCCCCCTCAGCCCGGAAATGGTCCCTATCATGTCGAAAAAGGGCCCCTCGTACCGTAACTGGGCCCTCTCAGGTCTGAAATGGTGCCTCTTATGCCTGAAATGGCCCCTCTCAGCCCTCAAACGGGCCCTCTCTGGCCTCAAACGGGCCCTCTCTGGCCTCAAACGGACCCTCTCTAGCCTCAAACAGGCCCTCTAGGGCATGAAATGGGCCCTCTCAAGCTTGAAATGGGCCCCCTCAGGCCTGAAATGGGCCCTATCAGGCCTGAAATGGGCCCTATCAGGCCTCAAACATGCCCTCTAGGGCCTGAAATGGACCCCTCCAGGCCTGAAATGGGCCCCTCTCAGGCCCCAAATAGGTCCTCTAGGGCCTGAAATGGACCCTCTAGGGCCTTAAATGGGCCCTCTCAGGTCTGACATTAGCCCTCTCAGACCTGAAATGGGCCCCTCTCAGGCCTCAAATAGGTCCTCTAGGGCCTGAAATGGGCCCTCTCAGGCCTGACATTAGCCCTCTCAGACCTGAAAAATGGACCCTCTCAGACCTGAAATGGGCCCCCTCAGCCCGGAAATGTCGAAAAAGGGCCCCCTCATACCGTAACTGGGCCCTCTCAGGTCTGAAATGGTGCCTGAAATGGGCCCCTCTCAGCCCTCAAACGGGCCCTCTCTGGCCTCAAACAGGCCCTCTAGGACATGAAATGGGCCCCCTCAGGCCTGAAATGGGCCCCTCTCAGGCCTTAAATGGGCCCCCTCAAGCCTGAAATGGGCCCCTTTCAGGCCTGAAATGGGCCCTCACAGGCATCAAATGGGCCCTCAGGCCTGAAATGGGCCCATCTCAGGCCTCAAATGAAATGGGCCCTCTCAAGCTTCAAATGGGCCCCTTCAGGCCTGAAATGGGCCCTCACAGACCTGAAATGGGCCCTCTCAGGCCTGAAATGGCCCTCTCATGCCATGGAACGGGCCCTCCTAGGCCTTGGATTAGTTCAATCGGGTCTTGGATGTACCCTCTTAAATCATAAAATATGACTATAAATCCTAAGGGGGGGGGGGGCTATCAGGCCTGAAAACTGTTTTCAGTCCTATGACGGGCCTTGACATTATGATAAAAAAATTGTCAGGCTGCATAACGTTACAGTTAGAATCGACAGTGGGCCCCTAGGATAAGAGACGGGGGTGAGATCTCACCCCTTTCACCCCCCCCTAGCTGCGCCACTGTGTCCACACTGGTTCATTTGTCTACTGGTTCAGTTGTCAGTGTTTTAGTTGTCTACTGATTCGTGGTAGGTACTAGTTCCAAAATTGTCTACTGGTAAAATTGTCTACTGGTTCAGTTGTCTACTGGATCAGTTGTCTACTGGTTGAGTTGTCACTGGTTTAGTTGTCGCTGGTTGATTTGTCACTGGTTCAGTTGTCGCTGGTTCAGTTGTCTACTTGTTAAGTGGTCCACTGGTTCAGCTGTCCACTGGTTCAGTTGTCTGTGGTTCAGTTGTCACTGGTTCAGTTGTCTCTAGTTCAGTTGTCGCTGGTTACGTAGTCCCTGGTTCAGTTGTTGCTGGTTCAGTTGTCACTGGTACAGTTGTCCCTGGTTCAGTTGTCTGCCTACCAAATATACACTGAAAAAAATTACTCAGGCCAGGCATTATTCAGTAATAACTCATGAATACTCAGTGAATACGATAGTGGTACTCACTAATAAGCTTGGCCAACTCACATCACCAGAGTGACTTGGTTATGCGTGAGTTCTGGGTACTTAGTTCCGTGAATTCGAACTGAGTTGGAAATGAGTTCTGCCTGGGCGGATCCAGGGTACCTATATTGAATTAGGGGGTAGGACCAAGTTTAGTAGGCATGATCTCAGCAATTATCTTGTTTGATATGGCAGTTTTCATTATTACAATATTATTTTTGATATCATGAAGTTTGCATATCTCGGTTTTACGAAAAATAGTAGGGCAACAAAGATAAATTTCGTGAAAAAAATAATTTTAGTTGGAAACATCCATTCTGGTATGCAAAATTCAGTATGAAGCCCAGTATGGTGACCGTTATGTGTGCTTCCAAGGCTGAGTACCTGATATCAACAGAAGTTGTTTACTATTTTGCCTTACGTTGCTAGGTGGTTGCTAGGGAGCTAAGGATACTCTCTTGCGCGATCATTTGCACTTATTTTTCCTCATTATATCGACATGTTGCTGTTTCTGAGGCGTAACTCATGCTAAGAAAAAACAGTTTTCTTAAAATGTGTATTTAAGTGCCGTAGTATTAACACAGCTCTGCAGTTCTGCTTAAATATCTGCGAAATCCTGGCTTCCCGGAAAATTGTTGGTGGTGATGGAGATCGAGCCCGTCGATGAAAAGTAAGTCAATATTTAAAGGCTTCAAAACATTATTTCTTGTTTATTTCTTATATATAACAGTATTCTGTTTTGGCTGGCTTCTGGCAGGAGTACGTGGCAAAGAAGTTGCAGTCCAAGTTCAGAAACGCCCGAAAGCGGTCCAGCAGCCCGGCAGTGATTGCCTTTCGGCAGGAGCTCAACGCCAAGCGTCAGAAGCCGACCGTTAGCTCCATCTCGAGAGGTAACAAGATAACGTTAACTGGTTAATCAATAAAATAAGTGACTGCCTATACATGGGTTCGATATTGTGAAGTGAGTACCGTAAACCGGGGTGAGTTGATACGGATTTTGAGGTTTTTCTAGATTCCTTTAAAAGTCACATTCATTTACGGAATTCTTTTTGTGCCAGTTTCATGGCACATGCCTTGGGGAGGCAATCAGCAAAAATGAATAAAAAATGTATATATTAAGCCCCTTTTTTAAAACGCCAAAGTTCATATCAACTCACCCCTTGGGGGGTGGTGAGTTGATATGGTTTTGGATTTTTCAAAATTTCTCGGCTAAAGAAGCTCAGAGGTGAGTTGATAAAATGCCAGTGTTTAAAAAAAGGATGTGAGAACACATCTTCAAAGAAACCATCAGAAAAATGGTAGTAGTTTGGCAGCAGACCTCACATTCATGGAAACGCAATAATGTCCAACACAGCGCTATCAAAATGGATTGATTTTAGCAGCATCATTTTTTCACTTTATGATACTTAGTTTTACTTAGAACATTCTGAACTTGGCTAGTCACGTGTCCTCAAGCCAACGGTATCAAAACTGGCAATATATTTTGGAATTACAAGTGTATTTTCTTGTAATTAAAACACATTGTCAGTTGCGGGTCAAGGTTGATATGCTTCTGACAGAGATAATGGATTGAAATGAAAGAATACATATACTTCTGAGCTTCTGTTGACTGTTAGTCAACAAAATATTAATGAAGTGAAGTGAAGCGAATCTAATTCGGACTGTATTCTATAAGGTGAAATAAGCGACATAAAACAGAATTCGGCATCAAAAGCCAAAATTAACCCTCGCACTTATAGGCGGGCTAACGAATCACCTCGGCTTTTCGCACATAACTCGCGCTAAAAGCGGCCGATCACGACGAAACTTTCAGTACCTCTCGAGTTTATCAATTTTACACATGTTCTAAAGATTTCATGACCCTGACTTAAATGGTTTTTGACTTGTGACCTGATTCTCGAGACCATGCTTGGCCGGAATCGCGATTTGGCGTAGTCGGCTCACATTATCCGCGCATTTCCAGTCTTTTTGTGATTGTAACGTCCAGACATGTAAATGATGTTGGTCCCACGCAGTATTGTGGGTGTCAACTGTCAAGGTCACCTGAAGGTCAGGTCAGGTCATTGACCTTTGGTGACCTAGGTTCACTTTTTGGAGTTTTACATGTTTCTAGGGTAGTTTTTTTCGGGCCGATTTCGAATTTAACCCGCGCCCCGCTGGGGGGGGGGGCAGAATCTGCCCCCCCTCCCGTTTTTCGCCAATAACTTCTAAACGCGTTATGCCAGCGACGTCAAACTTTCAGTACCTTATCATACATCAATTTGACACGTTGCCTGAAAATTTGAGCGAAATCCGTCGGAAAATTTTTGAGAAATTGACGTTTTAGTGACGTCATGTTCGCCATTTTCACCTCAAAAACGGCAAAATTTCAAACGCCGCTAACATCTTCATTTTTAAAGGAATCAAGACGTAACAAAAAAGGTTATACGTGATTCTTCTTTGTCTATCAAATGGCTATCTCGGTTTTTTGAAAATTTTGGATTTTGGCCAAAATTTTTCCAAAAAACTGACTTTTTTGGGAAAATATTTATAAAATCCAAAATTTTGAGTTTATCGAAAAAACCGGAATATATGTCAAAGAAGTGGTCTATGTGCACCTACGTACCAATTTTTAGAAGAATCGGATCAAAAATGTGGGAGTTATTCAAAATTTTATGACGTCACGACACACAAAAATTTTGGAAAATGATTTTTTTGGAAGTTCTAGACCTCGTACGGAAACAAAAATAGCACCATTCGATTCGTCGTGAAAAACCGCATCGGATAGACACCTTTTTAGGCCTTAACAACCAACTTCAAAATTTGACCTCACTTGACTTGACCTTGACCTGACCTCGACCTGAAATTCATCCAGAGGTGGTCCATATCACTTATTGAGTGTGCCTATTGAATTCCATGAGTAAAATGACCCATAAAACATGTGTCGCACATGCCCTTTTCTATATTTTGTTTTTGGTGACCTGACCTGACCTGACATGACCTTGACCTTGACCTTTGAATGACATTGTGTGCAACGAATATTGTCTTGGTAGTCTAAGAACACGTTTTGGGCAATCAGTCTCAGTCCATTCTTCGGCAACTACGGTGCAAGGCCGATACTGTAGAAACTTGCATTTTGTACCCTTGACCTGACCTTGACCTGACCTCTGACCTACTTAAGCAAAAAAATTTGGGCTCTTAAGATCCGCCTTGTTGAGAGCTTTCGATTGCCGTTTTCCCCGTCTTTCTACGACCATCGGTTCGGAAGTTAGACAGGGGGGGCAGAATCTGCCCCCCCCCCCCCCAGCAGGGCGCGTATGGCTGAATAGCCCAGCGGGGCGCGGGTTAACATGCATTTGATCATTTATGAAGTAGTTTTAGTGCCTTCGTAACATGTTACGACACCGTCAGTGGTAGTTGACACTTGACACTCCCTATGGATAGCCGGCAGGACACCTACTGGTTGACCTGACCTGGCCTGACCTGGCCTAAATGTACGAAGACATCTGTGATCAAAACTAACATGACATTCGTGATCAGCAACAGCCAAAAAATAATAAACTCGCTTTACGAACTTCAAATAACCCCCTATTTTCCCGACTTCTGGGTAATTGACCTGGCCTGGAAGGTTAACCAATGACCTAGGACCTTAAAGTTGGTTATCATCGGCTTCCTCGCGTCTCGGGCAACAAGCTCATTTTTTTCCGCGAAGCTCTAGCTCCACCAGGGGCCAAACGACGATGGGATTCCAACGGACCCCCCCCCCCCCCCCTATACGTTAAACGCTGGCAAAACACGAATACGGGCGAGGGCTAAAACACCAGTCCATTTCTGTATATTGTTTGTTCCATTTCATTTAGTCACTCATTCTCGGTTGGCAACTGCCAAGCAGGAAAACTAATCAGTTTCACGAGATCAGAATTCCCGCGCTGTTAGCCATACAGAAACGACAGTTCTGTCATTTTCGAAACTACGAATAATTATAACAGTTTTTTAATCTGTATGTATATAGGTGTTCTACAGTGTTCCTTTGTAGCTTGTAGGGAGCCATCTTGAGACTTGACAGGGAGTTGTGCTGTGCCTTTTGCATGTTAGGTATGTCCACAGAAAAAAAAACTTTGGGGTTACTGATGTTAGTTGTCGGACCTTCGTCCCCGTCTTAAGTTGAGATGTTAGTTTCACAACCTTTCGGCCAGTTGCTCTCCGGCCGTCGGCACTCGTCAGGTGTTTTTTGACCCTCAGAAGGACCTGGATGTTGGTGGCGTTGCGCCGTACGCGTCAAACAGTTCGAAAGCTCCTGTAGTCAGCGGGAATCGAACTAGGGTTTCCCTGGTGATGGTCCACGGTTGTAACCACTCCACTATCGATCGCCGGAGAAGTTACTGGCTGAAACGTTGTGAAACTAACATCTCAACTCAAGACGGGGACGAAAGTCCGACAACTAACATCAGTGATACTAACAGGCCTCGTCTCAAGCATTCAGAAAAAAACTAAAGCTTTTGGGGGTTGATGGAATGATGTGGGGAAAGAAAAGGAGAAGAGTTGGTCTAATTGACTTTGTCTTACCTGCAGACCCCTATTTCATGCTAATTTGCATGCATACCAGCCTGGTATCAGCTTTTATCATGCATATCAACTCACCACTTGATGGCATATCAACTCACCACCTGTCACTTTTCTTAAAATTATAAAAAAAGCGTTGTTATAGGTGAAACCAAAACTACCTGGGATCAACAGTAAATTGATGGTAGTTTCTTTCCCAGTGCATGTTGTTCCATGAATATCCACCGTCTTTGCTGTAGGGTGGGGACTTTTCCTTAGTTTCAAAATCAGAAGAAAAAAAGGACTTTGAAAAAAGTAATGTGTTAAGAAGGCACTGCACCACATGCATGCCTTTCTCAGCTATATGCATCACTTATTGGTTGCTTCACTTCACAGAAAAATAAAACTGAAAATTGGTCGACATATGGATGAGCAGCACACATTTTAACATTTTTCGAGCAATTTATATCAACTCACCACCCCATATAAACTCACCCCGGTTTACGGTAATCGTCTTTTTCGTGCTCGTTCCTTTCCTGCAATGGGCCTTGGCTTCAATATGATGATCATGTGATGTAGGCAACCACGTGACGTATTGCCATATTCCACAGGGTACATGCCCACTGTGAAGAACTCGGCTATCGTCGATGAGGCTTATATCAATCGCATGCGCCGCGGAGAACGAGGAGGTGAACTGATGGACCAGACATTCCCCCGCCGGCGTCAAGAGATCGGTGGCAGCCGTGGACCGGACGGCGGAACAAATCGATCGAAAAGCTGAGGGATACCTACCCTGCATTGTCCGAGAAAGAAGAGGTGAGCTGTCTTGAAGTTAAATACATTTTTGTGGCGTAATGTGATTTTTATAAAATAAAAACATAAATTTTAACTTTTTTACTTCTTAAACATTTCGTGCCCTGACCTTGTCAAATGTCCAAAGCGTTGTCACCGTTAGGGAATGAGATTCAAATTGATCGTAGACGTGTAACGCACGGTTCATACGATTTTTTATTATGTTTGTGATGTCATGTGACCTCAGCATGACCATGACCTCTGCTTAAATATAGCACTGTCACACCACAGGAAGCGTACCAGCCTAATCATCTGTGTTTTGGCGGAGTTTGGTGGCATCGCTCCTGATGGGGCTGTATCTGCGGCCAGTAAATTGGGAACACGTGCCCTATATCTTTACCCGAGGCTTGACCTCAGTTATAAATGTCAAGCCCTCGTTAGATTCTACTGATTGAAAGCTTTCGAAAGTGATGTCGGAACAAGTGTACCAAAAACGGCGAGCGAACAGTCTGGTGGGCTTCTTAACCAGGGCTGCGGAGTCGGAGTCGGAGTCGGAGTCGGAGTCGGTCGGAGTCGACAGTTGTGACCGGAGTCGGAGTCGGAGTCGGAGTCGATTTTAGAAACCCGAGCCGGCGTCGGAGTCGGAGTCACCGAAAATCTGTCGACTCCGCAGCCCTGCTAGGTCTGCGGAGTCGGAGTCGGGAGTTGGAATCGGTCGGAGTCGACAATTCTGCCCGGAGTCGGAGTTGGAGTCGGAGCTGGTTTTTGAAAGCCGGAGTCGGAGTCGGAGTCGGAGTCGCCGAAAATCCATCGACTCCGCAGCCCTGTTCTTAACACCCGTCACTGACCCCGCTGACCCCGCGCCGTTTAACCCGCGCCGTGCTGGTGGCCTGAACTTTCCGCCGAGTGCTGGGGGCGTTTCCACGCCCCCCCGTCTAACTCGGCTCCTGGGCCACGTAGCGACACGCGGTAAGCGGCAATCGAAAGAGCGTCAAAAATAAGGAAGAAAACACCTCAGTCATTTTAAGGTCAGATCAAAGGTCAGGTCACCAGTGGTCATCGAAGGCCAAATTTAGTCCATTTCAATAATTTTGGAAACTGCTGGTGGCCAGCTCGGGTGAACCAATAGAGCTACAGCGCCGCGGAAAAGCGCATCCGATAGCTCTTTTAACGCTCTTTCGTTAACCCGGCGGCCGCTGGGCCTCCGCGCCACCCGCCGGCCGCTGGGGGGGGGGGGGGGGGGGGGGCATAGAGTTGCCCCCCCTTTACTCCTGCGACGATATCGTCGCAACGCGGAGAGATAGAGAGGCGAAACTTTGCTCACATCTTCCTGAATACCTGGCCGAGGTTGTGTCCAAATTTGGTGTCGATCCCATTTGAAATGACGTCACAGTGACGTCATAAGTGAAATTATAGATTTGCGACTCCCATATTCCTCACGATACATCAGATATATGGGACCGAATATAAAGGGCCGATTATTGGTCAGAAACTAGATGGAAGTGTACTTAGATGTTTTAGAGTGACAGCAGGTGCTGTCTAGTTCATTTACAGTCGAGTTTCATGCTCAACGTCATCAGAAACGGTCCATATCGGAAAACAACAAAACTTTATGACGTCACTGTGACGTCATCTTAGGTGCTACAACCACCAAACTTTCCTCAAACATTGCCTAGGTATTTATTTGAAGCTATGCCAAGTTTCACGTTCGTAGCTCATCAGGTTTCGGAGATATTTCACAAAACGTAAAGGGGGCCAACTTTATGCCCCCAAGCTGCTAGTGGGTTAATATGTCCTCAGATTTGACCTCAGGTCAACGGTTTAGCCTCCAGAGGGCAAAAGCTGTAAAAATAGCCGTTTTCACGAAACATGTTTTTCGGCAATAACTTTTGACTCAAAGGAGCCACGACATTACTTTTGCCAGCATCGTGTTTCTCTCGTCGAGACGCGTCGAATGAACTATTTGTTGACCTTACAAGATCATTTTGAAAATTTGACCTCGGGTCAAGGTCATGACCTGACCGAAAAGGGTCATGTTGCATATCAGTCGATCCGTATCGTCGAGCTGAACACATCTGACGTGTTTTCACCGCTTTTGCACGTATCTATCAACATTTATGTAAAAAAAAACTGCTGGTGACCGTTCATGACCTGAGACAGTGTCTCAAAATTATATTTTGGAATTATATTTTGGCTTGGATGTCGGAGGGGGATATTCTTCACAGTAAAGCGGGCTGAGAGTGGAAAAATGGGCAGTGGAAAAAGGGTCTTGGACACTGCGGGGATTACACCAAAAATGTTTCTCCGAATTAATTAAAAAAAAACTGATTTCGATTCCTTGCGCACTGCTGTGCAATGTGATTAACCAACATTTCCTCAGAAAAGTTGTGAAGTTTTCCTTTATTCTCGAAAAGCGATTTCGGGCGCTGCCCCGGTTGTGGGGGAACCCCAAATGCCTTCCCCTGGATCCGCCAGTGGGTTGCCCCACCGCGAGCTCGACTAAAAACGTCTTCAAATCCCACCAGAAACCGATGGTAAGGTGAATTTAAATCCAATCACTCATCTGTCTGCCCGCCTAAAATTCAGTGTAAAATTTTTACTTCACCGTTACCTGTGCAGATGAAAAAAGTTTTGTTTTTTTTTACCAGTCAGTGATGAAAAAAATTGACCGATCTTAACATGCAATGATGATTTTTACACTAACGGGTGCTATGATGAAAAGAATGACAACGTGAATTACGTCACGGTGTAAATGGTGTGAACCATTATACAGCTCACAATGATGGATGGCATAGAAACATCGTTACGGAGCGAGCGAAGCGAGCGGAGTCTTACGTAGAATAACGGAAATTTCTGAGTATGAGCGGCCGGCCGGCCGGCCGGCCGTGCGGACGCTTTTGCGAGGCTTATATCTCAGCAACCACTTGACCGATTTACATGCGGTAATTTTTGTAGGGTAGCTTCATTCCTTCTACCAAGTATTGGACTATTCCCGATGCATGTGGGTGACCCCTTATGCACGTGCCACGTGCAAAACGAAGAGGTGTCACTTTTGTAATTGTTGCAATATCTCGGTAACTACTTGGCCGATTGCGCTGAAAGTTGGCATGTAGGTAGGCACCCACTAGGCACTGCATATCCATGTGCCAGAGTTGGGGTGCTGCTGCACGTGCGCACGTGCAGGGGTCGTTTCCAGATCTCGAGAACGGCTGGACCGATGGCGCTCAAATTTGGTACACAGTTAGGGACCGGTTAGTAGGGTGCCGTGCACAAGTCAGTTGGGACCCATTTTGCACGTGCGCACGTGCAGGGTGCCGCTTCCAGATCTCGAGAACGGCTGGGCCGATTGTGCCCAAATTTGGCACATCGCTAGAGACCGGTTAGTAGGGTGCCGTGCACAAGTCAGTTGGAAGTACCCCCTCGCAATTTCGCACGTGCAAGGCCCACCCTCTCGCTCGCTCCGTTACTCGCCCCAAAAGGCGTTATACTGGTTATAAAAAAACGTACATGGCGGCAACCATTTTCTGTGGGTGGAGGCGCAGTTATTGGAACTTGGGTAAAATGTAAAATAATTCTGAAAATAAAAACACCTACCAGGTTTCAGAGAGCTACCCAGCGACGCATTATCATTACGTTGCTTATATATATCCTGATCATTACCCTCTCTGAAAACGGAAGGCACGCGACGCGTTGTTTGCGCCGTAGTTTGTCACGCTGGCGCCAGCAAATGCGGCTACTAAATAATTGCGTTGCATTAAACCGAACCCGGCCCCCGACACCGTAAGAGGTGCAATTTCCCTCGAGACATTACCCAGCCTGCATGGCATCAAATCGGAAGAAACTTGTACCACACAGTTCAAAAATGATCGAGGCTGTCACATATGTATAGTATTTGCCATATCTTTCATCAAATCATGAGATAGCTTGCGTCCATGTTGCAGCCTGGACACCAGTCCGAGGATGAAATTTTTGTTCATTTTCGAAAGGCAATATTTTTATATCAACAGCAATCTAAGAGTTTGTATGTATCTTATAACGAAGTCCAGTGTCTTATCTTCTAAAAAATGCATTACAGTCATAAAAATATTGACTAGACTCCCTACAAGCATTCTCGACTGGTGACTAAAAATCGAAGAATTTTTCATCCTCGGACACTCTGTAAGAAAACAGCTATAATTTCCCTAATATTCAATATTTTTCGATTATATCTTCAGCAAACATGGAGAACGATCCATTTAACATGCTAATCCAAACAGCAGATGATTTGGAAACTTCATGAAGGCGTGAGAGATCCCCGCGGTTACCTGGAAAATTTCATCCTCAGCCTGGCCTTTTTAATGGTTTTTCATCCTAATTTCATCATTCAGATGTAGAACTAGTGTAATGCAATTCTTCAGGGAATGTTTATACAAAAGCAATAAATTAATTTAATTTTAATTTTTAGACATTATTTGATTGATAATATTGTATTATCGAGTGTATTTATCTGCACTTACCTACACCTTTTTATTGTTCTGTTTCTTTTTTTTAATCGAGGCAATCACGAAGCGCATGAAACAAACACTGTGCTGAGATATTTCCATGTGTCATTATCATTGCTGATTGGAAAGGAAGGTACGTATAATTTATCATGTATATTTTTTGTGGTTTTCATGATAGGTGCAGTTTTTAACCTTCTAACATTATTTTGGGACATTTTAACCGATTTGAATAAGGATTTGGTGCATTTGTGTTGAAAGATGAAAATTATGAGCCAGGATGAAAAATTAGCAGATTTCATTAACTGTGATTTTCCAGGCTAATACCGGAAAAAATTTTTACACTGGCCTAAATATACTAAGTACACATGGTACGGCACCCGACCCTGCCGGAGCTTTGAGCCGATCGTGACATTTTCGGCTTTCCCCATCCCAAGCTGCACGAGCATGTGAACGAGCGACCCACAAGACAGGACAGTGACCTCTTTGTCGCTCGATCCCGAACTGAAATGGGGAGGCGCC